TCTCAAATTCAAAATCTTGCAGCAATACCATCATTTATTTTCTTTTTCATAAAAACATTCTAGGGTTTAACAAATTAAAATTATCTGATCTGATTTACTATGTTTATATTTCTGTGAGCGCATATTATTTATCTGAAATCATTACTGATGCTATGTTGATAGCTTTGCTGTTGTTGTATTGAGTGTTGAACCATTTGCTATCAATATACTCTTCTTCCAAGATTCATCTAATCTCCTTTTACTGTATAAACCATTGGCTCAGTGTCTGGCAAGAAAATATATTAGTGAATTAAGGGGATGTATGAAGAATGACTTTTTTAAATCTGTTATGAAATCTTGCCAAATATTTCATTGGATTTTCTGGTATTGTGAAATGATGGTATTGTGAGAAAAAGAAAAGGGATAATCCATCTATCCATTGTCCTATTTACCTGAAAGAAAGATTATTCTCAATTTAAGGCAACCATCAGAAATAAATCCGTAAATAAATAAAAGCAAAATAGATTGAAGAATAAGCAAAGTGGAAAATCTTCCAGGAAAGAATCATAGATTCTATATCTTATCATCCTAAGATTGTCCAATACAACTGAAATCAGTTGTATGCATGTGACACCCTTCTACAATTGCATGTGGTATGTATCTGCCAGAAGTCACAATACATATCCACATGCATATGTAGTCAAGGCAATCCTCTTACATTAACTGAAGCTAATATTAATAGAGAAACAAAATATTCCATACATCTACTATTCTATATTTCACATGCATAGAAGTATTTAATACTGTATTTCACACTTCACATAGAAGTGTTCAAACATTCTATCTCCTTTTTTCTTATCTGAAACACCAAAAACAAAAAAGAGGGGGGGGGGACCTTTTAACTGACCCAGGAAGGGAAAGATAAAGGAAGCACAGGACAAAGTGGGTAAAATGAGGCAAAAGAAAGAAGTAATGGACAGAGACATAAAGAAAATAGAGAAAAGCTTTATTATTAGACATTATAGAAAGAGTTAACTTAGCGGGCATGTAGACCCACACCCATGCAGTCCCACCTGAGCAGCTACTACTCTCAAGGTTCATCTCTTAAAGGCATTCAGCGCTGCAGCAGCAATCTTTTTAATCATTTGCACTTCATATTTATTTCTTTTCAACAACTTTTTCTATTCTCATTAAATAATGCATGATTACTATTCAATTCATACACAGTTTTTTTGTGGAGGAAACAACCCTCACTTTCTTCCAAGCATCTGTTCCTAATGATAACAGAAACAAAATATCTCATAATGGAAACCTCATTTCTTTTGCACTTGTGTTCCAACATCAAACGCAAGCATATACTTAAGTCACAAGGTTACATCATAATATACGCTTCATCAGTGACTTCCATGCCATGCCTTGTGGATTTTTTTTAACAAGGTACATTCAAGATATGCCTCTTGTACATAATTCTATAAATCTGATTAACTGTTATTCATCCTTTTTTTTATATAAAGGAAAAAATGAAGACTTTCCAATTTCCTAAATGTTTTATTTCCCCTTTTGGGGTCCTTTTTATGTTTATGAGATATAATAGCTAGAAATATATGCTGTATTCATGATATGATGACTTCATAAATTTATATGAAATTGGGGGTTTTTTTCTTTTAAAAGTCCTAATCATCTCTAATATGGAATTCATTTCTCTTGCAGCTAATATATGTTTTTCACTAATTTTCTTTTCATACCTATCTACATTCCTCACATTGAATAGACCATTGGTTTATATTACTTTCTTAAAGCCTTCTACAGAATGATCCCATTAATTATTGTGTAGTAATGAAGGAATACTACACAGTAGTAGTTTAGTAGTTAGGAATTTCAGTTGTCTTTGATTTAAATTAGCCATGCTCAAGTAGTTGGTTTCTATCCATTCTTTTTCTAATGTAATATGGAGCAAACTTGGATTGTTGCTGTACCTAGAGGCTGAAGCCTAGATTTGCATTGCCAGAAATACTGTTATTTTAATTTACTAAAAATGGGTGATTTTGATGGTTCATTTTGTTAGAAATCTTTTGATATTTTGTCAAGGAAATGCTTCATATATTAAATGTTTGAAAATGCAAGAATATTATGAGTTTTCATTGTTATCATTCAGCATGGTTAATTGACAGCTCCATTAATTAAACTGGAATTGAAGATGCAATAGAATATGTGGGTTATTCAGACATTTTTATTTTTCTCTTGGATTTTTTTTTCAAATTCAATGCATGTGATAAAAAATTGTGTCTATTATCTGACAAGTTATAAATTGCAGACAATTGTAGCACTCCAAACCATGCTTGCTGTGTCTTTTAAAGTAAGTGAACTAAATTTTTAAGAATGTAGAGATATTTGTTGTTATATCCTTTTTCTATTCTATAGAAAGGTTTTTAATCTGACTATCTTAACAGAACAGGCTGTCAGGATAATATAACCTGAAATATGTTTTAAACTGAAACATGAATTGTATACTACTATATATAATATTTATAAAATATACAAAATTATCTTAAAAATTCTCATTCCTTATAATTAACATGTAAGTTTTCTGGCAACAGTATGAAAATGGTTTGCCATTACCTGTTTCTACTATTTTTTTAAACTTTCTAATTTAATGTCTACTACTTCCTTACTCTTCCTACTAAGTGGGAGCAATGTGCTATTTAGTTTTTCAAGGTCAACAAATGGCTAGGGATGTGAACTTTAATAATACTACAAATACAGTTTTTGGTGATTTGCAAATATTTAAGGAATGGAAGTTTGTTAACTATGATTTACCCATACTAATAGTTATTTGATATGTAGTACTAATAAAATGCAATTAATGTTAATAGCCAGAAATTCAAATTATGTTCTAATTAACTTTTACACAATAGTACCAAAAATACATTATGTACCTATTAATAATATATTACAAGTCTGATGAACAACTCTTCACCAATCATATAAAGCCACCACTATGCAAGGGACACCATATTTCAGCTTCTAGACCTCTGGAGAAAATCCACTGAAAGTTTTCCAATCTATTTCAAAATACATTCTAAAAATGAAAATACTGTATCAAATAGTTATTTTGATTCCCTTTCTTAATGATTGCAACAAGTTGTATATAGACATTTCATTCCTATAAATACAAATTCAAATGTTATCTTAATTGATAAACAGACCAATGTGTTGCTGATATGCAATTTAACAATGGAAATTGCTTCCATTAATAAATAGGAAGGAAGACAGAATAATAGTCCTCCATAATTAATAAGAAAGTTTCTGCCTGCTTGCCTACTTATGATTAGTTTAAGGCTTTTTTACTCTTAAGATAAGGCATCCTTGCAATAAGAGAATGAAAATACTATATAAGTTTGCAATTTTATGCAATTACCTATATATCCAATTGAAAGAAATTGCTTCTGGGCAAGTTTAAACACTATAGGAAAATATATTTGCTCTTATAATTTAGTTTCCTACCCTATTAAAACTGTTACTTTCTAAAATGGGTTGTGAATTTAATATGCCTCAACTGAAATAAATAACTAAAATGGAAATATCATATTTGTATGTTTTAAATGAAGAGTTTTTTTAGGATTGCCTAAAAAGCTACTTGTAATAGCTTTTGTGGTGAACACAATCTCTCAGCTAATCTCTCAACTAATTATCAGTATAAATTACATTAAAAATCCATATATTGAAGAAGAAAAATCTAAATTCAAGCAAAAAATCCTTTAAACTCCCATACCATCTTCAGACTAAGTATTGCCAGAAGACCAATTCAAAAGTGTTTCCTCACAAACCACCACAGTACACAGACTATAGAATTTATTAATTTTGGTTAATGACCAGCTTTATAAAACAGCCAGTAAAATACAACATATGAGATATTACAATTTCAAGAGGAATTGTAAATATATATTAAAACAGACTGAGTGGCTTTTTTGATTAATGGTAGAATGACAGTAGCTCAGATGAAGTTTTATCAAATAGTCAATTTTTTTTAAAAAAAATAATGTTGGGTGACTGAGGCTAACATATGGATAAAGACAGGAAGTTTACATAAAAACATACTCCACAAATATTTGTTCCATAGCCAGTAAAATTAGATTAAAATGATAAAGACAAAGTCTACTCAATTACCTATTCTGTATCTATTGTAAACAATCCTTTCAATTTCATCTTTGATAATATAATTTATTTTTACTTAACAGATAATCAGAGTTGGAAGGGACCTTATAGGTCATCTATTCCAATCCCCTGCATAAGCGAGAGACCCTACACCATTTCTGACAATTTGTGCAAGCATATAAAATATATATTATTTTCCCTCATACAATATTGTTTGTATTGACTTTGAGGGCATCCCATGGTTTTAAAATGCAAGAAAAGTTGGTAAGTATATTTACTAATCTAGCCTTATACAGGATAAATACTGAATTTCTCAAATATTCTGTTATGAAAAATAAATCCAATCAACTCTTTTCCCATGCATGCAGATAATGAGGCTTGCAATAACTGAATCCACACACTTGTTGAATATAAGTATTTAGAATTATTCCTTTTTGTCCTATTATTAGGATTGTTTGAGTTAAATTGTAATACTTCAATTGACCTGGTTGGTAGATCAATTTGCCAGCCTATTTCCTGAAAACTAAAGTTATCCTTTCTTGAGTGGGGTAGAAAATTCACCTACCTATTCAGCTTTCCAAATCTCTATTCTTTTTATCTGCATTCCTTACAATTCTACAAAATTCTGATCCTCAACCTAATTTTCAGCTTGATCTTCACAATGCAAAAATATGCTTATGTCATAGTTTAAAGAGATGGAAGAACAGGGATTGGAATATTTAACAAAAGATTCAAATGTGAGATGAATCAGGGGAAAGCACAGCTGCAAGATTCACTCCTATGGAGGAAAAGCCATGCATCCATCTCTTGACCTCCTCTTTCATTGAGGGGCAGGCTGACTGGGAAATGGCAAAACAGATTCTTACCTTCACTGCAATCCTTCCCACGGAAACCAGTATGGGAGCAGTCACACACTGCCTGATTGTTGAGCACAGAGCATACACCACCATTGAGGCAAACATCTCTAGCACATAAGTGGCTCTGTTCATCATCCAGACGTACTTCTTGACTCTCCACAGGTGAAGATTGTGTATAATTGACTCTTACATCTGTTATCCATCCTTTGAAAGGTTCCCTATCCTTCACTGAGGAGAGTGTTACTTTTAGGGTAGGTGAACGCAACTCTGGAGGCAACCCTCCTAGAAAGAGACCACTGAAGACCGTCATGTCCCGTCGCTTAGATTTCACTTCTACCCATTTAGCCTCAGACTGATCAATTAATAGTGTTGTATTCTTAAAATTACGGCGAATGACCACAGTGTGCCACAGGTTGTCATTGACAGCCATGTCAGAGAGCAAGATGGCAGGCTCAGCACAGAAGATGGAGAAACTTAGCTGGAGCCGCCCACCTTGTGTCAGAATTAACTCCAAGAAGTCACAGAAGCCCTCATCGTCAAAATAAAGGACCAGACCACTGGAACTGTGTGTTTTCATGTTAAAGCTCATCTCGCTTTCACAGCAGGCATTCCATTTGGGGAAGCGAGTCCACTGGCCCTCTGCTCCTGGGAACTCCAAGCTACTGCCAAGCTCTGCCCAACAACCCAGGAGCAGTGCCATCCAAAGTAGGAGGCAGCCTCCACGCCGAAGGAGCACAGGCCCCATTCTTGGTGGGGTGGGGTGGGGGAGAGGGGGAAGAGGAGGGGGGAGTGGTGGTGGGGGCGTTGAAGCAGACAGGGTAAAATCTTTCCAGTGACCACTCACAACAGATACTTAATTCTTGCTTTCCAGGTTCTGGGGGAAAATAATGTAGCTGCCGTCCCCAGTAGGAGAGGCTCAGGCTTCTCAGCCAAGATGCAAATTTTGTTCTTTTTCAATAATAAAAATAAAAATAATGGAAGAAAGAAAAGATAAAGCACCAACAAATGTGCAATTTTATTTGAACTGTAAAAAGTGTTTAAAAAATAAAAGGCACTGATAAAAAATTATTCAGTCATCTGCTTCTCAAAGTGAAGACTAAGAGTGAGTCAGCAAATATATTAATATTAACAATCCATGTTGACAATATGAAAAGAAAGTGGAGATGGGTGGAAAATACACAAATGTAGGAAGGTCCATAAACTACTAAGAAGACCTTTTTAAAAGATCCACAAATCCAGCAAGATTTAATCAATATTCCAGCATATATGGAGAAGTCAGTATCCAAGTGTATGTAAAAGTCATCTTATCCAACAGCTGTATTTCCCAGGAATTTTGTCACCTTCACTGCAAGCAATTTACCGATTCCAGTCCTGTCTTTCCAAAGTTGATTCTTTCATCAGACCATGGACTGCCTGCCATGTAATAAACCAGGAGACTGTGTATTTCCCAATGGGGCTGAAATCCAGAAGCTGTCATGTAGCTTAGAAGCTACTTGCTATGCAGAGCCTCACAGCTGCTCCTATTTTGTTTTTCTTCTGCAAAGCCAAAACTGGAAAAATCCTGGTGCTTGATTGTTGGAAGATTTTGCACCATTAAAAAAAAATGTTTTACAAAAACCTGCAAAAATTAGAAATACAACAAAATTACATTCAAAATCCTGAGTACTGCATTCCTGAAAAATAAAGAGCTGAAAGTAAACAGCAAATATAAATGCAAGCAGAATTAAATGTCTTCTGCTGCAATAGATCCACAGACTTAATATATTGTGCTCAAAAAGTTTCTGGTAACACAGCCTGCTACATTTTTAGCAATAAGTTTTTATGCAAAAAAGAAATTGGAAATGCCTCATTAAACAGAAAGTTAAGATACAAAGGGATATCAAAAGATATTTACTACCATTTTACTATCTTCAAAAAGAATCATGGTAAAAAGTATATTTTTGCCTGCTATAACCTATGTTTAGCAATTTTCCATGTAATAAACATGCTTTTAATCCTATATAAAGTGGATGAAATCATAAAAGGAGCAAACTAGCAGTGAATTTCTTCAGTGGTATGGCTTTGCTTTGTTTTTGTTTTTTTCTGGAATAAATATAGTTATTGATACATCTCTTTGTATATTTTTACCTGCTTCCTTTATTTTTTAAACTGGGAAAATTGGTTCATTTTAATAGCTTATATAATAGAGGCCAACATTTGATTAATATCTGCTATCATCTTCTAGCATAAAGAACTACATACAATCTCATAACCTCACATTAGCTATAACTTGAAACTAGCTATATGTACATGTTTCTCTGTAATGCAAGTTAAATTAGTTTCTATATTTTAAAATATCATCCCATACTTCCCCCTCAAATATTCCCAACTAAACCCACCATTTGCAGATAATGCATATTTACTGGTATTTGTTCAATCACAACTTTATTTCTATAACCTACCCCATTGCAGCTACAGCTGTCATCTAAGAAAACTAATTGACTTGCAGCAGCAAATAAAAAAAAATCCTCAAGTAGTAGCAATACCAAAGCATAACCCTTTTAGATTATGCCTAAAGTATTAAATAACATATGCTTTCATCTATCTCAAGTGCAAGCACCTCTTGCTATTCATAATTTGCATAGCTTTGCAACTAGAAGTATTTCAGCACTATGCCATTACAATACAAAGTCTGTAGGAGGGGGTAAACACTTTTTATTGTTTACTTCTTGGTGCAAGCAGCATATTGTGATTGATTGATTCATTGATTAAATGAATGAATAAATTTATATGCTACCTGTCTCACTATCCTGAGTGAGTCTGGGCAACTTACAGTGATTGTAGATGCAATTAATATTTTGAAAAAAGCTGGAAGAAAAATGTTTAATAAATGCAATCAATTAATGGCAATTTCTACATTTTAATACCTTTTAACTTCAAAACAGAATTTGCATGTCAGCACTGTGGTTCACCAGAAGTCCCCCAAAAACTAAATGTAGTACTTCTTGTTATAGTTTTAATGCTTTGGTAAGAGAGAAAGGTATATCATTTTGGGATTGATAAAACTTTATATTGTGGGAGACACAAAGAATAATTCTTACTTTGATTTGAAATAAAATATTGCATGGTCAAAACTTAAGGAGAGAAATTCGAGTTTGGGATACCTTTTCCCAAGTTTTTTTTTTTAATTTTATAACTATATATAACCATGCATGTATATAATATAGTCATAAACCATGTTAGTCAAATATTTTAAAAGGTGGTAGAAATAGATTTAAAATAATATTTCCCCTTTATGATGCAAATGTCAATTATACTTAGAAACTAACTCTCAAAGTTAATATTATCCAATGTTTTTTAAAAAAGGTCTTACAAGAACTTGTTCTCTGATCAAGGATCATTTTCTTAGCTCCATGTCCTATTATTTAATATTCTACAGTGTTTATGTTGTACTAACCATTTCCCATCTATTAAAAATGGCAAGTTTTCTTTTGGTTTTAAGAAAAATATGAATAGACAATCAGTTCAAAAATCGACTTCAATATGGATCATGGATTTATCAGTGTGTACTGGAAAGGCAGCTTGTAAACTTGTAATTTCAGAATTTGGATGAGGGAGAGCACTCTGAGCTCTTTACCATGAAACTTTTAACACCACCTGGTAACACAATGTTAAGAAAGAAAGAAAAAACCACACACATACACACACACACACACAACTGGTGAATAAGTGCATGAGAAAATGAAACAAGGAATTAGAGGGGAAGAATGGAAATAAATTTGAGTAAATTTAATAAAATAGGAAAAGGAAAAGGCAAGTTTGAATTACTGTACAGGGCCACCTACATAGGTTGCAGAATTTATTTCCATGCAGACTATTTGCGAATAGCCACATACAAAGTATGAAGGGAGAAAAATGGTGTTTAAGGGATTTATTCTGTGAAACGGCCATGTATTTTCCTTTGAGGCTTTTGTGGTCTTCGCTATAACAAGCTTCTGTTTCTCAGCCTGGACTTATCAGCAAGGCAGAGGCCAATGTCAGCAAGCATCGAAAGCAGCAGAAAGCAGCAAAAAAAAAAAAAAAAAAAAGAGCCCCATTTCACCTCCTTGAGGAGCAGCCAACCCCGCTGAGGCTTCCCTTTCCCGCTTAGAGAAGCTCTGCCGACTTGGCACCGACCCCCACCGCGGCCCTTTCGGTCAAGGCTGCCCGTTAGGGAGAAGGGTGGGGACGTGCCAGGAGGGGAAGGGAGGGGAGGGGGGGGAGAAAGAAAGCAATAAATTGATGACACCGCATCCAGCCCTCGCCCGCTGCCCTGCCCCCGGTTCCCGCCGTCACGCTTCCTCGCGCGCCCACTGGCAGCTGCCGGGCTCCTCCTCTGGCGAGGCAGGGCGCGCGCTGCAAGCTAGACGCCCCGTGCTTTTCAAAGCTCGCCGCTGCCGTTGCTGCGGCTGCTTTCGCTAGAGACTGACCGGGGGAGGGAGGGAGGGAGTGAAAGCTCGGGCTACGTCGGCCTGTTTCCACACACTTCCCTCCCACCCGCCCCCCCAATCCCCGTTTCCAGGTTTTTGTGCTGAAGCTCGGGGAAATGGGGGAGAGAGCAAGGGGAAGGGGTGTGTGTGTGTGTGAATGTGTTGGAGAACCAGTGCCGGAGTGTGTGACGGAAAGTATTACAGGACGGCGGTGTTAACGAATGTGTGGGAAGAGTTCTGTCAAAAGAAAAAGAAAAAGAAAAAAGAAAACCGGGAGAATTCATTATCTGCAAGCGGGAGAGAAAGGAAGGGGAGGAGTGGGATTGAAGCATTACAGAGACATAAATATTCGGTGAAGAACGCGTTGTGTCTCCCAAGCACGACGCTCTCTCTCTCTCTCTCTCTCTCTCTCTCTCTCTCTCTCCAGCTGGCAAGAGCTCTCCAAGGTCTCAAACAGCGCTCGCTCTGCGTTTTGCCAGCCTTGCTTCCTAAAATCTCTCTTGTCCACTAGCGAGAGCTCTCCGTTTTCTCAGCCTTTGCTTCCTAAAAAAAGTCTCTCTCGTCCAACTTGCAAGAGCTCTCCAAGGTCTCTCAACAGCGCTCTCCCGTTATTCCAGCCTTGCTTCCTAAAATCCCAGATAACGCGCGGAATTGAAGGTGCTAAGGAGACCTTCCCACGCAAAAACTGCCCTTCGCTGCTAAACAGCGGCCTCTTCCCCAGAATGAGGGTGTGCGCCATGCAGATGCCAAGCAAGAATTGAATTTGGGATTTTCCACCACTGCAAAACTCACAGAGTTCATCCCCCACCCACCCCACAAAAAGGTCCCAACAGAATATATGTTGCTTTGTCTTTATGAAGCCGGATCCATTTGGTCATCTAGCCATCTAGTGTCTCATCTAACAAGCAGCAGCGGAGAGAGAGCTTTTTCAGGCTTTGCAGTCAGAGATCGTTTTAACTGGAGGTGCCCAGAATTAAAGCAAAATGTTCATGCCTGATAATTCTGTGTTTTTCCACGAAGGGGAAAAATGTTTAAAGAGAGGAGGGGAATTAATGAGTGAAAAAAAAAATAACACACAAGACACATTGATTATTATATGTGAGAACTCAGGAAAGGATTATATGGATAAAATAGATTTTTTGAAGAATATTAGACAAAGGAGATTAATATATGCATGTGTGCTATATATATATTGAAGGTAAAAGGTGAAAGTTAACTTTGTATGAAAGAAAAGCTTAATTTGTGTGCAAATGTATGTGAGAGAAGATTAAACAAAGAAGCTATAATATGTTTGCAT